TGTTAGGATCTCCTGGGTTACATGCCTATAATATACATCATATTTAGCAACATCAGTAGATATATTTTTACAATTATCTTACATCATAACCACATGTATCGGCTGATTTAGCGGGCACGATGGTGCAAAGAGTGCATATAACAAGTATAAATCCACAGTAAGTTAAGATATGCATGCTTTAAAAACCACTACTTCAAATAAATTAACAAATTTTACTTAAAACCTTGAAATAATCTTCTACACTTACAATATGTGGTTAGTATAGAGAATACGACGACGACTAATATAAAGGCTGTATGAAAATGAATCTTTAAATTAGTTTTACCTATGAATGTGTATGCAAAAGATAAAATCACTTCAGTCTACTTTGCACACCAGTTGGTTTTTTATAGCCTTAGATAAGAAAAATACACAGAGAAAAAATAGATAATAATATGCCTACTTGAAGATATATTTGATGAAGAAGATTTTCTTATTTGACAAAGTAGTCATAGAGCAAATAGTTATGTCATGAAACAAGATTTGTTAATTTATTTTTAATTATTAGACCTTCGTATGTACTATCTTTTGACATTGTATTCTAAATAATTCTGAAAGATAATCGAAATTATTAGAAAATGCAACAACATCTTTACGTGAAAATCGTTCATCAGAAACAAGATTTTGCAGTTTAATATCTCATTCAGAAATAATATTTTTTTTCATGTTACTAATTTTCAATCTATAGAAATCCAACCATAGGATATTTAACTTGTATTTCAAACATAATTTTATGGTGAATGGTTATTCTAAAGCAATCTTTAATCTATTCAAGTTAGTTTTCTTTCCTTTAATTATAGAATAACAAGATTAGTTCTAAAAGTGAATTTATTTTTCGTTCAACCTTGTTATTGATGACAATTTCAAAAAAAAAGAATTAATGAACATATTTTTTTGTTGTTTCAAATAAAAATCAGTAAAGTATCTATGAAATTAAATTTGATTTTCATTTGATCATTTATGACAAAGTTACACGGAATGTTCGAATTTGCATTGGATTCAAAGTAATATTTGTATCAGTTAATGTTGTTTGTTCTATTGAAAAATAACATTCATTAAATACATATAAATTTATCATGCAAATAACTTACTATTGGCATTCATTTGAGATGATTCTTGATCGGCAGTTACCCATTCAAGTCGATGCATATCAGCTAATGGTAAATTTGCACCAAGTGTCATTTCAACCATATTACCAATTGTTCCTAATGTTGTAAATATAGATTGTAAATTAAATGTAACTGGATGTGAATAAGTATCGTCTTCAAAAAATTCAAAGAAATGTTCAACACGAATCAAATATTCTTTTGGTCCTAGTTGATCAAATGTTAATAAATGAACATTTACTGGCATTGTATCAGTTAATGCTGACCATGTTTGACGATAAGCAGCTGAATAACTAGCATAAGTTTGTGGAACTAATGCATATGTTGGAACTGCACTCATATATAAACGTTGTGAGCCAACTCGATGATATAAAGCACTTGCAGCAGGGGTTTCTACATTAATAAAGTGTTTACCACGTACAACAAGACCTTGACCAAATGCAGTTTCATTTAAAGGTTCACCAACACCAAGTGAATCGTCATAAAGCATACGTCGATGAACCATAAGTTCCACTGAACCATCACGAATGCTAGCACCACCTTGTGTACGATCTATACGAATAAAAAATTAGTGAGAAGGTTCAGTTTTTTTAATGTAAAAGTATATAAGAAATTATCATAATTATCTTTCATAAATTTTTATAACTACCTGTAAGAACAGTAAATTGTCGATCTTGTTCTTTTATCCATATTCGACTATTCACTGGATAATAGTTTCCACTCACTGGTTCAGCAACTGTATAGTTCCATGTTGGTCGATAATCTCGTTTTCGTTCAAGTACTTCACGTCCATTAGCATCAGTATAATATTTCGACTGACTTTGAATGTCAGTGTCATATCGTAGAATTATTTCCTTACCAATGTTATCATTAATAGGAATAGGTCCAACTGTCCATTCAACTTCAACATATGATGAATCATCATACAAACTAATATCTTGACTTGCCCAATCATTAAATACAATTCGTGCTGTTTGAACATTTTCTGATTTTATACATGTTCTAAATAGTATATATATATTAGAAAGAAATGACATGATAAGTCTATTTACACTGATCGTGTAGTGCTGACTGGTTCTGCATTAGATGTCAGTGGTCGAAAAATATAAGCACCTGATGCTTGAAATTCTGATCGAGAATTATTACCAGGAAAGCCTAAATAGACACAGTAAAATTGAGCAAACTATAATAGTTGTTAACGTACTTGAATACCAATAAAGTCCTTGGCCAGTAAATCCTACTGCAAAGCTCTTTTTAATATTAACAATATGTCCAAGATTGCCTTGAGCATCAATTTCAACTCGAACATTCTACAAAATAACATGGAAAACATAAATAACTTATTGACATATTGTCTTACTTGATTTTGTAAAATACATTCATCATTGTGTGTAATTTTTACTGTTGATTCTTCACGTTTTTCATTAGCTAGAACATAGAAAAAATATTTGAAATTAGTAGATAAATGCAACAAAGAAACAAAATATTACTTTTTGCTTCAAAAAAGTAAGTATTGAAACCAAGTGCAGGTAAGCTAGCTCTGAAGATAAGATCATTTGTAGCTGTACTGGCTCGTCCTGGTATTTTTTTTGTTGTATCCGCAATAGGAATAAGCTAAAAAAAGGAAATTGAAAATGATATACATTTAGTCATGATTTTATTTCATTACCTCAGCTAAAATAGGTTGTCCTGTTGGATCACGAATTGTATAAGATCTTGTAACAGGTACACGGAAATGGCGAAGAACTGGTTGAGTTGTTGGATTCCATAATGTTAATGTAAACTATTCAATAAAAATAAAGAGTTAGAAAGGAGAGTAAACGTATATATTCTTACTCGAGGTTGATCTTGAATTGGTAAACATTCACTGATATTAGTTAATGGACAGAGAAATTGAGGTGCTTGTGGTGGTGGTGAACCAACTTTAGGTAAAAGTCTTGCATATGCTTGATTAATGACACCCTAAACGAATAGCATAGTTGTGTATTATTATCTAAGTATTTTGTTGATTTCGAACTCAAATTATATAAATACTTACAGATGCTACACCTAATCCGACAGATAATCGTTGTGCATAATCAAAAGCAACTTCTTGTTTTTCTGTACCACTAACAGCATCATGATGTTGAGCAACACCCATTGCTTCGCCTAGAATTTAACATAAGCCAAATCTTTTAATGAATTTTTTTGAAAATAATATGTTCTTACTTAAAACGAAAATACTATTTCGTAGATTAGTTCTAGCATATCCATTGAGTTGTCTTGTCACTTGTAAAATATTATTTGAATAACGTTCATAACGTTTAAAAGCAGCTCGTGATGAAAAATAACCAGTCCAAAATCCATGTGGATGATGTGCATATGGAAAGAAATCATCAGTTTTCGAAGACCAAGCACGACCAACTTTATTTAAAGCATATAAATAACATGATGGTGTGGAATAGAAAACATTAACATTGCTACCATTAGCTTGCTATACATAAACTATATGAATATAAATATTTTTCAGAAAAAAAACACATACTTGAGCATTAACGTATCTAATGAGTTTATCCATATTTTTGAACCATTCATTAGCATTTTCATATTGAAAATCACTGCCCATTGTCATGATGATATGATTAGTAGCAAAACCAACTGCCTATTAGAAAAATATTAGATAATTTTAAATAAACGTATAGAATTTTTCATTAATACAAACCTCATCTTGAGCTGCTCGAATAAAGGTTTGTACACGTTCTGGAACATTATAATCATGTAATCTTGGATCATCCTAGAATAGATACACACATGTAGGTTACGGTTTCAATATTTGATAGTTTAACAAAACGAATGCATAGAAACAGAAAAAGTATTATAAAATTGTGTACAAACCATAATAGGTGGATCAGCACAAAAAGCATCAAAACAAAATGAGCCTGGTGGACCGTATCCATTCGGTAAAACACCAGTGAATAACCAACCTTGATGATCTAAAATATACCAAAAGAATTTTTGAATGACTTCTAATTATTTTTCACTCAAATGATAATGTATAATTTACCTAAATTGGCACTGGCTTTCCAAACCATTTCCATAGTTTGTGTTCGGTTACGTGTATAATAATCTTCATAATCAGCACGACCAAAAAACAGACCATCAAAACCCATCTAAAATCGAAAAATAAATTTGCTTTCGTTTAAAGAATGATTCATGTCGTATGAAAGAAATTTTACTTGTGCAAGAAGTGAAGCTTGTTCACGTGAATGACCAAATGGATCAATTTGCCAACCAATTTTTGGTCGACCACATTCACCAAATTGATCACGTAAAAATTCAGCACCTAAAGCATGTTGATCAATGATTGAATTGTAATGTGTGGATGCTTCATCATTCATACACCAGCCACCAGAAATAAATTCAAGGCGACCTTAATTAAATTAAATTTTTTTGTTGAAAATGAATAGATGATTAAACCTGAATAACATACCTGTGTTAACAAAACCTCTCACTTTATCACGTGTCTCTTCAGTTTGTTGACTCCACCAACGCCAGAAAAATCCTATTTCTACATAAATAAAACGTCGATCAGGATTTTGTTCA